CTTGGGCATCCCCGGAGGGGAATTCCTCACCGTGACCGTAAGACCAGTCCGCCCACCGCCAGAAAAAGGACGCCCCCGGCTGCCAACAGAGGGAACCCCAGATCTAGGCAGTGGCACGGGTACTCCGCCCCTTTGCAGGTAACGGAGTCCGGTCCGCAACTCCGAGATGGTCATACCCCCACAATGGGAGCATGAGTCATCCACGAAAGCCACCTCAGCGTGCTTCATGCCCAGGCACGAGAGGCAGCGATCGTGACCATCACCCAGCGCCAGGTAACGACGCATCCAAAAACGCCCGGGTGATACGTTGTCTATAGCAAGACCCACATCGTCTTTACAAAGACATAACGTCAAGTTTGCCATGCAACGTCGTCTTTAAAAAGGCGCACCCAAAATTGCTCTTTTAGGGAAAAGCTCTTTTAGCGTGCTGAGATGCACAGGGGAGATGATCATCTGCAACACAAACAGGGGGTAGTGCAGCCTGATGTGTGCAACCCACTCAACATGGGAAACCACCATCCGCTGTCCGCCAACATGAAGAGCTCTCCAAGAGCGCGCTGAACTCTTTCAGTCTTCTCTCAGTAGAGTAGTCAGGAGCAGAACGATATGATCGCTTGGCTCCGAAGCGAAAAACTGAATATGCGCTGCATCTGCTGCCTACTTATACTCACGCTGTGATCAGCAGCAGCTGGATTCAATAATCGCATGCCAATGTGCATTGGCTCGTTTAGTTTACACTCAAAGTAGATTGGTCCCTCTAAGCGAGATCCCAATTCGTCGGTCCTCCGACGTGACGTCGAGAGAGACTGACTGAAAGGGAACTATATAAGGGTCCATATCAACAGACAATAATGTTCTGTTCATTATAAGCTTGTGCACAGTTGTGGTTTGCTGTTTTAAAAGCTCAAACTCTATAAACGTGATTCTGATTGACTGCGAATGGTGTTATCGTTCATCAGCTGGAGATCATTCTAAGAGTGATTTCAACGATACCGTTCTTCTGTGTCGTTATTATTATAGTTGTAGTGTGGACTTTCCTGTTCTCATAGAATTTTAATTTTTAAAACTTTATAGTTAATAGTTTTAGCAAAACTAGAAAAATGTTTTTACATTAATTCATTTAGCAAATGTTTTTATTCAAAGCAACTCAAAAATCAAATGTTTTATAAAGAATTCAACATAAACATTCATTTGGGCTGCTATTCAAAACACCTAGATTCTTCAGAAGTACAGACCAGAATAGGCATTTTTACAGATTTAAAAATTTACATTTTGCAGAAGCATTCGCATGCATGTACTTGCATAGCGTATGTTTCTGGCCTTAGGAAAAAAAACCTCTCCTTTTTCATACTGAATGAAAAAAATGAGGCCATTGTGGCTCACCGCAGCAGTCTATGCATTTGAGGGGAGTGAAAAATGCAGATAGGGTGGATTCATAGAAAGCAGCAGCACACAACAGCATTGTATGACTGAGTCTGTCCACATATGAAGGTTCCCCGGGAGCGGCCCACTCCTGATCAAAGGCAAGGTTAGTATGAAAGGAGGTCATGGGTTAAAAAAGCATCTATATTAGTAGCTCAACACCCTGGCTATAGATAAAAGCACACCACACTTCCACATCTTCAATCACTAAATAACAGCAACTGCTGTAAAATAAAAAATAAACAGGGCTTTTTTGGGGGGGTTCAACAAATCATCACTTCCACACTTCACTTGAAAACGACAGAACAGTCAGCATTCTCATGAACCCTTTGGAGAGAATTGGAGGGGAGGTGCTCACATCCATCATGCACTAGGGCACTTCTCATCTCTGCATGGCTAAGAGCTCATTTTAAACAAACCGGTCAAAATCCTGGCATCTCTTTCGTAATCTCTTTCCCCAAACAGCCCACCCTAGTGGGGCCCAGTGGGCAGCTTTGAGTAGGGCAGGTCATCTTTTCTGGCAGGCTCTCAGAGGCTGGAGTGGGCAGAGCAGGGAACGGACCCTCTTGCTTTGACATTGAGAGCCGAGAGGAGCTCAGGGGCCAGGGCCAGAGAGTCTCTCCTTTTCATTTACTAATTAGGCATGCAAATGAAATCTTAACAATCTGCTCAGACGTGCTCCTCGAGGGAGGCTGCTTTGGCATTAGCTCTTGATTATTCCTGATCTGTTGGGAGGGGGAGCACAACAAATTTGTAAGCCAGAAGGAACTGAAAAAATATGATTGTCTGATGAAAAAAAAAAAATTAAAAAAAAAAATGGAAAAAATAAAAATGCATGGCTGGTGACCAGCATTTTATTTTTGTTTTTCTTCTTATCTAGCTTAAACAGCAAGACATCTTTGGTCAACCGGCAATTAAATGAACAGTTCACCCAACAATGAAAATTCTGTTCTGAAAATTCACAAATTGTTCCGAACACAAATGACTTTTTCTTTCACATAAAACAAAACAATTAAAGACTCTTTTCATGCTCTTTTCCATGAAAACATTAAATTGACATTGAAATCGTCCTCTAATTTTCTCCTTTGGTGTTCCACAAAAGAAAGGGGGAAAAAAAAATCGCAACAACACGAGAGTGAGTAAATGAGTAAGTTGGGTGAATTATTCCTATCACACTGGTCTAAGTCTGTCCTTTCAGCAGGGTTCAAGAGGACTGGGATTGAGAGAGAGAGAGAGAGAGAGAGAGAGAGAGAGAGAGAGAAGACAAAATTAGGTAAATGTTCTCAGAATGTTCTGGCAAGGAACAAACATTCTTCCAGTAATATTAATGGAAATGTTCGTTCAAAGTTATCTGGTCTTTAATCATGTTCTTAAAATGTTAGCACAAAGAATTCATTTATACATCTTTCATGGATAATTTTTTCCCTGAAACTTTTTAGTTCGACATTCGCTTAACATTTTTCAAATATAACTACTTGCTTCCAAATGCTCATAGAACATCTAATAGTAACATTCCCATAATGTTTGCAAAACGATCAAATGGAATGTTTCCTTAACGTTAACGCATTACCGAGAAAAGCTGGACATATTCATAACTTAATGGGAACATTAGCAAAACTTTCTTACAACATATTTTTGTTAGCTGGGTTTTGTCATAAGTACAGGTACTGTAAATTTTGAATCTTAAAGGCCTCACCTTTAGCAGGTCCTGTGTGTCATCCATGTAGTAGACGCGGATGTTGTATTCCAGCGTAGAGCAATAGGCAGGAGCAAAGAGCAGCAGTTTTAGGCGTTTAGCTGCAGCCATGCTGAGGGACTCCCCGACCAGAGCAAAGCGGCCCAGCTGCTCAGTGTACACCTGGCACGTCTCCGCCTCCAGCTGGCAGTAGTACGGCTCCGAAGCCACTTCCTCACCAAGATGAAGTACATCCTGAGGAGCCAATGAGACAATGACACAGGGATCAGAGGGGAGGGCAGAGAGCAGCTGTGTCAGTGGAGTTATTGGAGAGATGGTCAACTCCTGCCCTGGGGATGTTCGGTGTCAGATTTTAGATACAGTGAAGTGATCTTGCTGAGCAGAAACTGAAAGATCTGCATAATGAACTGTGTTCTGTGCTCTAATGAGACACTAATAGCAGGAGTTCATCCTGAATGCTCACACATGCTAGTGCCCATTAAGTGACCAGAGCTTCCCTTTCTCTGGTAATAAATGGTGTGAAATTTCTACAGCTCAGATTTGCTTCTTATATGAAAATACCAATAAGTTAAAAACCAGAAAATGAGCAATTAAAATAAATTTAAATTAATAAAAATAAAATGTATAATGAATTAATAAATGAAAGAACACACACATTTTATGCATTTATTTAATTATTTCTGAACTGTAAACGGTATTTCTGGATTTTTTGCATATTCTAAATCAAATTTCTGTAGCTTTCAGATGGAAAACTTGCCGCCACAATGCTAGGTGTCTCTCTGTGTTTTTTAGGCAGCTTTACAGGCTCAGGTTTCTGTGATATTCTGATCCCTAGATATGTCTTTGGTTGCTTCTTCAGTGTACGATATCATTCAAAAGTTTGGTATCGGTAGGATTTAAAAAAATGTCTCTTATGTCTCTTATGGTGACCAAGGTTGCATTTATTTGATTTTTTATATTTATTTTTTAGTCTTTAGTCTCACGTGATCCTTCAGAAACCATCCCAGTACTGTTGCTTTGGTACTTAAGAAATGTTTATTATTATTATTATCATCAATGTTGACAACAGTTGTACTTATATTTATACTTATATTTTAGTAGAAACGGTGATTATTTTTTAGTTAGAGTTAAAAAATTCAATTAAAAACCTTAAAAAAGCTACATCATTTAAAGTATTTTTCATGTTCAGTACGGGATGAGTTTCATACTTAAGGTTAGGGGTTTGTTCAAAATAGTTAAAAATGTTCAAATCACTTAGCATGACCATTAATGATTTTTTCCATATTCATTACTTTATCCATTGCAAAGCCACAACCAATCCTATGGCATTTTGCACCCCACTGTTTTGTGTTAATCAATTAGTGAGTTTGACAGTTTGAGCTGCTTCTCTACTAATAACCAGGAAAATAAACTAATTAACAGGTTGCAATGTGCAATATGGAGCTTGTCAGGGCATGGCTAGATAATTACTTTAATTGGATGTAAGAATCGTCCCAGGTTACATATATAACCATGGTTCCCTTTCAGTCAGTCACGTTCTACGTTACGTCAGTCGTGACTGACGAATTGGGATCTCGCCCGAGAGTTGCCAATGACAGTTGGCGTGCGTGTTTCGCCACGCGCACCCCGCCCCGTAGCGCGGGTATAAAAGGAGAGCACGTGCAAACGCATATCAGCTTTTCGCTTCGGAGCCGAGCCTTCTCAGGACGAATCTCCGCGAGTGTTTGGAAGAAACAGCTGGCGTTGGTGTTACGGCGCGTCAGCGGGGGTTGCCATTCAGTGCTGCTCATCTTCGGCGTGCTGCAGCTGCCATTCTGCAGTCTCGCCGCGACCTCCCCATGGCGCTTCTCTTGGATCCTGCTCTTCAGGAGATGGTGACTGCACCACTCCTTCCCCCGGAGGAGGGCCGGGTGGAGAATCTTATGTTTCCATTTGTTTTTGTTCTACCCAGCCAGTGGTACCCAAAACTTCAATAAAAGAGCAGTTTCCTTTGCCTCCGGGTCCCAAGAGGGCGAGGATAGCGAAGGACGCGATACAGCCGGTCCCTCCAGCCGAGATGAGGTCGGGTTTCTACAGCCCGTACTTCATCGTACCCAAGAAAGACGGTGGGTTACGACCGAACCTGGACCTGTGCGTACAGAACCGGGCCCTTCACAAGCTCCCGTTCAGGATGTTGA